AGCCGTAATACTTAATGAACCGAAAACTAGATTTTTTTTTCCTTAAATAGTGAGGTTGAGGACTCGTACTTTGTAGTGAAGGATTTAATTTTCACTCGTGCCATGACTTTAGCCACCAATCAGATAACCTCCTTCTAGTTAATTCTACCCGCTTGAAGTCTATTTTGCCCTCCTTGTCCTTAAACCCTAGTGCTCAAAGGAGTGGCAAGAGCCATTACTACACCCGTTGCGAAGGTCCGGAGGGGCAGTGACCCGGTGGGTGCGCGCCTCGACAAGCTTTCCGTGCACGTGCATGGCCGCTCAATCTCCCCCCCCCCCCCCCATTGGCGCAGCCTGCCGAACAAAAGAGCGCGCGTGAAAGCAAAAGTCGACTGACAGGCCACGACTCGAGGTAAGGTCTGTTCGATTCGCCTGCACCAGATGAACCAGTTCACGAAGTGCTGCACCTTGCCATTCAGCTAGCTTTGAAACATATTCGGATATTTTCAGAAAAAAAAAAAACCCTTTAGAGCGGAATCTTGGATCATTTGGGTGAAACAAATGATGCGTGCACGAGATTATTTACCACAATCAATACTGGTAATTGTCCGATTCAAATCATCTCTAGATATACGTCGCCGAAATAAATACGCCACGACGCGCAAATAAGAGCACTCAGTATACCTTTATAACTTATACACACATTAACATGGGATACTTCGCTCACACGGAATTCGAAGTCACTACGTATTCATTATTTACAGTAACATCATTATTGCAATGTCGAATTACCACACGAGCGAGAGCAAGAAGAAGATCGTGTGCTTCCTCGTTGCTTCAATTGCACAGCCAAGTTCACCATGTGGATCTAATGAAGCGCATGCATCGAGTACCCTCTACACCTAAATATATAATTGTTGGGTGAGTTAATCGCGCCTATTTGGCTTTGACATATTACCGCAATTGTATTGGATAAACTTTTATTGGTCCTCCAAAACACAGATCACTGTGTTGCGTGCAGCTCCCACGTGGGGACTGAGATGCCGAGCTCCTCAGCCGCCTCGCGGATATTACCGCAAACATATCAGACATTGTTGCAATTCATACACAACACCGGTCAATCGGCGCACATATATGATACACGTTTCAATGCGTTTTGTATGTTTTTACAGGACATAGAAAAATGTAGTTATTTTGCAACTGACTATTTTGTTAGGCTTGCTCCAACAGTATTTTTTTTCCTGAGTGCTCAAGTCACCAAAATACCTCCAAATGTATATTGCGGCCCACTGTCGTCGGTATTCAGCAGTAAGTTTGTATTTCGCTTGGCTTCAATTTAGCTCGCAAAAAAAAAAGTTGAAATCACAGAGAATGACGATATACATACAATACCAATCTTCGTTCCTAATAGTACCACCTGGGGTTTTAATGTGCCAGAACCACGGTAGGATCAAGAGCCACGCCAAAGTCGAATTTTTAGCTACTTCAGTATTCTTTAACATACACTGACATATCCCACAGTGCATGCATCGTCGTCTTTCCCGTGTTCATCGTAATAAATGCGAAGCATTTCCTGGCGAACTTTGGCGACTTTGAGCGTATCTATCTATCTATCTATCTATCTATCTATCTATCTATCTACCCGCCTACTACTTTTAGCTCTCCTGGCCGTTTGGATAACGGCATCGATACCAAACTTGATATGATATAACATGACTGTATGGCGAACATAACTGACCAGTCAAAACATAAACATCATGACATATGTATGTCATAAATGTCATAATTTACATGTCGTAGTCTTTCTGCTCTTGCGGTGGTTTCATTCACATGATTTGTTGCAAAACTGGTATGGTATGGCATGACTGCATGGTGAACACAAGCGAAAGACCCTAACATCAAAATCATGACATGCGTGTCATGTAACCACATGACTACATGCCACGCTCATGATGTGCTCGTGGCCGTTTCGCTAGCTTTGCATATACCGAATTTGGTATTACGGGACGTGAATGGATGATGAAGGTATGTTACTGGTGCAAACATGATAATCATGCGATGTGTATCATGTAACAACATCACTACATGCCACGCTCATGATGTGCTCACGGCCGCTTCGTTAGCTTCTCATGAACCAAATTCGGTATTTCGGTACGTGAATGGATGAGGAAGCTATGTGACTGGTGCAAACATGATAATCATGAGACGCAAGTCATGTAACAACATGACTACATGCCACGCTCATGATGTGCTTGCGGCCGTTTCGCTAGCTTTGCATATACCGAATTTGGTATTACGGGACGTGAATGGATGATGAAGGTATGTGACTGGTGCAAACATAATAATCATGCAATGTGTATCATGTAACAACATCACTACATGCCACGCTCATGATGTGCTCACGGCCGCTTCGTTAGCTTCTCATGAACCAAATTCGGTATTTCGGTACGTGAATGGATGAGGAAGCTATGTGACTGGTGCAAACATGATAATCATGAGACGCAAGTCATGTAACAACATGACTACATGCCACGCTCATGATGTGCTTGCGGCCGTTTCGCTAGCTTTGCATATACCGAATTTGGTATTACGGGACGTGAATGGATGATGAAGGTATGTGACTGGTGCAAACATAATAATCATGCGATGTGTATCATGTAACAACATCACTACATGCCACGCTCATGATGTGCTCACGGCCGCTTCGTTAGCTTCTCATGAACCAAATTCGGTATTTCGGGACGTGAATGGATGAGGAAGCTATGTGACTGGTGCAAACATGATAATCATGAGACGCAAGTCATGTGAGAACATGACTACATGGTACGCTCATGATGCGCTCGCGGCCGTTTCGCTAGCTTCACATGTACCGAATTCGTTATTACGTGACGCGAACAAAAAACATACGTAAATGACACGTCCAAACATGATGATCATGACATGCGTGTCATGTAACAACACGACTACGTCCCACGCTGCTCATGATTCACTCGCAGCCGTTTCGCTACCTCCACATATGCCAAAATTTGGTATTACGTCACGTGAATGGATGACGAAAGTGTGTGACTGGTGCAAACATGATAATCGTGAGATGCGTGTCATGTAAGGACATTATTACGTGACCACTCAAGGCGCCAATACACTTTGACGTGAGCCGGCGCGTGTGCGCGCCGGCGTTCGTTTTCTCGCGTCACGCCGGCGATGCCACGCCAGGAGCCGACATCCCCCTAGTAGAGATCAGTGGATCTGCTCACTGACCTCGATTGTGGATCTGCATGCCATATACTCGCAGGCGCGCGCCGCGCTGCGTTGCTTTAACGCATGCGCGTTTGAGCGCACGCGGCGTCCCTCTGTCAAGAATAGAGGCAGACGCGGTGCTGTCTAAGTAACGTCGTATGCGCGAAATGCAGCATGTCGCATTTCGCGCCGGTTGCCACTGGGCTGCGCCGACGGACGCTGGTCGCGCCGGTCGTGCCTGGCGTCACACTATAGAGTGCTCGCGTTTTGCTAGCGTGACGTCGCTGCGACCAGCCTGCGCGTGCGTCAACGTTGCGTCGGAGTATAACGGGCCCTTCATGACGCGCTCGCCGCCGTTGCGCTAGCTCCCCGTGTACCAAATTTGGTATCACGGGAAGTGAACAGACCGCGAAGGTAAATGACACATCCAAACCTGATAATCATAATATGCGTTTCCCGTAAAACAAGACTACGTGCTACGCTCATAGTGCTCTCGCGGCTGTTTCACTAGTTCCACATATACCAAATTTGGTATTACGTGACGTGAATGGACGATGAATGTAAATGACACGTCCAAATATTGTAATGATGATATGGATTTCATGCAAAACATGACTAGATGCTCATAGCTCATAGCAAGCTCGCGGACGTTTCACTAGCTCCTTATATACCAAAGATGGTATTAGGTGACGTTAATAGATGACGAAGGTGAACGACACATGCAAATATGATAATCATGACATGGAAGTCATGTGCGGAATAATTTACCTTCGCCTCTTGGTGTTGTGCAGATTTTAGTGACCTACTATATACCCTTCTTCATTCGTGCTTCGCATATCATCGATTCCCACTGCACGTGAGATCTGCCTTTTTTTTTCTTTCGCTAATGTGACTCACCCAGTCATCTTCCTCTAATCCAGCTGAAGCGATTACAGCGCATTCGTGACATCTCGAATTGAAGCAAGACAAAGCAGTGATCAGAACCACGTGGAACTATACCAGCGTACTGTGGCTGAAGGGAGCTTTGGGAGAGACACACGCGTCGCCGATAGCTATAGCGGCAAAGCCGTTGCTGCGGACTGAAGGAGAGCCAGATCTATCACAGGTGGAGAGAAGCACTCGGCTACAGCTAGTTCACTATAACTACTCTAGAACACTGTACTGTAACAGTTCTGATGACCCCATGATTTGGCATTATTTTCCCGTCCCCTTCTTAACAGTACAAGAATAATAGTCTGTGAGAAGCTTGCACACCAACTGCAATCTTGCCTCTGCATCGATAGATTTATACGGCGAGCAAATCAACAATGCGGCAATACTAACGGCAAGTATCCTATAATCGGATACACCTAATCTGCTGATATCTTGTATCTGTGTTTGGAGTGCTAAACACTTGTTGTCTCAGTATCTTGTTTCATGCCCGGATATAGCAGTAATGTATCACTGTTCGAGACTGCTTCATAAGCACGGCTCTAAGAATACCTCTTTATTGAAACACCATTCACGGATATCATACATATGTACATCTATTATGCTAACAAATAAACTCTTTAGTGTGCCTTTGTTGCCCCTCGGTTTCTATATTTGGTGGAATCCATCGACGTAACAGAAACAACGGCGATCACACCTGAGCTTTGAATGTGTATAACATTATTTTAATTTTATTGCGACGGGCCTCATATTGAAAACCATGAGTGCTGATTTCTCAGTGATGATTCAACGGAAACGCTTTTGCACTCCTTGCGGCACGACAATGTCATATCCAGTGGTGCAATCTGCGCCGCCTATTTTCGTGCCACCTTATTCGCGACCACAAGTAGCTGCGGTGGAATAGGCTGTTTGTTTTGTCGGAGGAAACACATCATCTCCCTGGCGTGTACGCCTTCGTTCGGCGCCAAGAACGTGTACTTCTTGCCCGTGCCGTCGGGCCGAGCCGCATGCCTGAAGCGACGCAGGTATTCACCCGAATTGCTCGGGTAATCGTAGCTGACGACGCAGCTAACGTTCTGAAGCTCCATCGCCCTCGCTACCATGTCGGTCGCCACCAGGACGGCAGTTCTGCCCAAATGGAAGGTGTCCAAAGCCCTTTTGTGTTCTTTCTTCGACTTCTTCCCGTGGACGCCGATGGTCGGGCAGCCCAGATTGCACAAGGTTACCGCCAAATATTCTACTGTCTGCTTCGTCTCGGCGAATACGACGACCCTGCCCCTCTCGTCGTTGAGGATGTCGTTCAACAGGGCGAAGAGCTTGTCCTCCTTCTCGGCTTCTTCACAAACGAAGACTACATGTTCTACGCGGTGGTCGTTATGCGACAGGGTCGCCGCCCCGATGCTCACGTCGATGCAATCCTTTGTCAACTCTTCAGCAAGCTCCCGCGACTCTCTCGTTACGCACGCCAGCATGACGAGGGTCTGGCGGTCCGGTCGGATGTTGTCCACAATTGTGCGAAGATTCTTCCCTAGGCCAACAGCAAGCATGCGGTTCGCTTCGTCTAAAACCAAGAGCGTACAACGACTCAGGTTGACCCTGTGCTCGTCCATGAGGACCGTAAGACGGCCAGGAGTTGCAATACAGATATCAGCACCTTCCTGCAGCTGTTTTACCTGCGGCTGCTTCGGGTTTCCCGAAACGAGACACACGGTTCGAATCTTGGATCCCTCGGTAAGCTTGCGAGCATCGGCGAAAACTTGCTCGGCGATCTCCCTCGTCGCTGTCAGCACGAGCACCATAGGTCCGCCACCAACCTGCCCGGCTGGCTGATGTTGTACGTGGACGAGGGCTGGGACAAGGTAGGCCAGAAACTTCCCTTTCGAGGCTGTGGCGTCGAAGGCCACCAGGTCCCTGCCACTGAGTGCTACGGGCCAGCACTCGGCTTGCAATGCGGTCGGTGGCGGATCAGTGTTGAGTTTCTCGACTGCCTTCGTTACAGATTCTGGGAGTCCGGCTTCATCCACGTGCAAGACTGGCTTGAGAGCACCGCGTCCCGTGACGATAATCTCGTTGGCGTTACGATAGGCCTCCACTTCTTCGGGAGCTCTCCACGCTGTCCTAATGTGTTCACGGTAGAAATTTTTCTGGTAAGTCGGCACCCGAATGCCTTTCCAATTGGGTGGGCGCAGGCTGCGTCCCACCTGGCTTTTTGCCGCAACGTAGGCTGACCTGTTTCGAACGGTAAACAACGCCGTGTGATTGTCTCCGCTTACTGGCGGCTGCAGAGGAAGGCCGCGGCCTCTGCCCATCGGTACTTGTTCGAAGATGACGAACTGTCCGCGGCCGAACGGGAAGACTGCATCTGGGGGCCCTTCGTTGGGTCCATTGACATTTGCTCCAAAGCCCCCGAACATTGCGGGTTAACCAAACCGGAACGCAAAGGTCACCTGCTGGCAAACGGTCGCTTGGTGCGCTCACTGAAGCCGGACCTGCACTCTGCGCATTAGACTTCCCGGGACTTGCTGGCCACCTCGTCGGTCACGCAGGAGGAAGACGGGTTTACGTAAAAGAGCCCGTCCCCGAACGGCTCGCTTCGTCGCCTGTCTCTCGAACCTCCAAGAGGTACGTCTTACCCACTACGGTGTATCGCACGAGAAGCATCGTTCGGGCTTACAAGAGTGCGTTTTGAATATGATAAGCACATCGGTGAGCGGGAATGAAAAAAAAATCGCAGGAATGATAAAAATTTGGAAGAGGCTTGAGCTTCGCCTTCTATTGTAGAACGCGCTAGCGTAATCAGGCCCCAAGCGCATCACCTTCTAAATTACCAGCCTACGTAGACTATTCCAAACTATTCTAGAATGTCTACCGAAAGAAGAGATTTTATGTGGCCCCTTGGTCATAAAGTCTTCCTATTGCGACTTAGCGAACGACCCACTATGCTTCCGTAAGGTAACACGTAAACCTACACAGCTGCTTCCTACACAACAGAACCGTGAACTATAGTTGACCATTCCGCTGCTGATAATGATTCAATATGCCTGAGCAATTGGGTGGGGCTTCAAAACGCCCACTTAGAAGCACAACTACCTGCAAGTGACGTGTCCAGGCGCCTGGCTCATTGCGACGCTTCTGCAACGCGATATTACATGCGTCAGCCACTACGTGACGTTCTTATTTTTTTTAGATGCGGAGCATCTAATACTCGAGGCTTGTAGTGCGGCGCCGTCCGCAAGCTTCCTCCTCCTTCTTCCACCATCTGTGCATCCCTTCCTCCTCTACACACCGCGCGCGCTTCACTCCTCCACCATCTGTGCATCCTTCTTCCTCTACACACCGCGTGCGCTTCTCCTCTTCACGAACATTCGCTAGCTGTATAATGTAGCGCGCATGCGCCGTCACGCTTCGAGAACATCGGCAGCTGACGCGCGCGCATGCGCCGTCACGCTTCGAGAACATCGGCAGCTGACGCGCGCGCATGCGCCGTTGCGCTTTTCCCCCTTCTCGAACATTCGACAGCTGACAGTGCATGCGCCGTCGCGCTGTATATATACTCAAGGTCGGTGCTCGCTCGCTCAGTTGCCGCTCGTCGGTTGGTTTGTACGGCGCGTCGACGTCCGAGGTCGCAATGATCGACGTCCCTTCGACCAGCGCCGGCCACAGTGGCATCTAAAAGCCATCGTGCTCAAAGTTCGTCGCAATAAATAAACACCGCCCTTTCGCATACGTGTCATACGTGTTCACTCATTTAACACCCCTCCTACAACCACGTTAACCAATTTAGCCAGCGACCCAAGTAAGTCGCAATTTAACACCCCATTTCACAACCACGTTAACCAATTTAGCCATCGACCCAAGTAAGTCGCACTTTAACACCCCGTTAACCAATTATATGCTCCGCATCCTCCTCAGTGTTCCCCCGAGGGAAGCTGCGGGCAATTTTTTTTCGTTGACTGCATCTACTACATGACGTATATACGATGTTTTAGAGCCGAATAATGTTAGGGTCTCGGCGTACATGTCAGCGTGCTCTTCGTGTGCTGCTTGTCGGTGCTGTCGTGATGGTGCTTCTGTCGGAGCGCAACAGAGGGTGCGACTGCCTTCAGCGCTCGCCACTGTGGCGAGAGAAAGCGAATGGCGCTCACGAACTATAGAAACGCCCTTTCTTCGATGAACGCTAAGCCAGCAGCTCGCAAGCCGAGAGTGCGCCCTCGTCCAAGCGATACAACGCCGACGCTGGCAGCATGCGCTAGCGAGTTTGCTGATAGAAAAAAGAAAAAAAAAACGACTGCCACTCCGTGTATAAAGACATACAGGCATGTAATCACGGACACAACGGAACAGAATAGAAACGCCTACTATCAGACTGCAGCAGAAAAGAAAGTAGACTTATCTCGGAATGCTCAAGTATATAAATGACAGCGCCACATGGCAAACCGGTACATGAGGGGTTCCTATGTAAGGAGAGATGACTGCTTAAGAACTTGATTTCTTCCTTACGCAAGCTAATGAATGCATTATATTGCTTCATCCCGGCCTAAGTGTAGGCTCAGTTTCCTGCAGCCTTCGCATTTGAAGTGCTAAAGAATTACGATGAAGTCAGGCAAAAATGGGAACGTATATGGCCAAGCCCTCATGAGCACGTCTACGCGTGCGTAGTATCCATAACTTCATGCGAGATATCGTTAGTGTGTAGATAATAAACAAACGTGTGGGTAATCTGTTTTTCGCTAGATTAGTTGTATTATAGATTCATTACGCGTGGCAGAACAGACAACAATCACGAACTAAACACTAAATTTTATTGTGGTGGGCCAGGATATTGTAATCAAAGGTTAGTTATCTCACTGCGACAATGCTACATGTATGTTCCTACGTGGCAGCACAGAGCAATGGCAGCCGTTTAATGTACAGCCTGCTGTCGTGTGGCCTTTTTCTCCGCGACCTGCCGTAGCTGAGGCGGCAACTTGTGCTGTTTGTTTTCTTGTAGGAACCACATCAGCTCTTTGACATGCTCGCGTTCGTCGGGCCTCAAGAACGCGTACATCTTGCCTGTCCCGTCAGGCCGTGCAGCATACCTGAAGAGGCGGAGCAAGTCACTCGTGTGTATCGGATGGTCGAAGCTGACGACGAAGCGGACATTGTCCAGCTCCACAGCCCTCGTCGCCACGTCGGTCGCAATAAGGACGAGCGCCTTGCCTGAACGCAGGGCATCAAACGCCCACTGGTGTTCTTGCCTGTCTTATTCCGGTAGATACCGACGGCCGGGCAGGCCTGAATGCGCAAGATCGCGACGAGGTCTTCTACCCTTTGCTTCATCTCGACCAATACGACGGCCCTGTCACACTCGTAGCTAACAATTGTCCTTCAGCTTCCGGGGCCACATAGAAGTCCGCAGGGGATTCTGTCTCTGCTGGGGGACTCTGAGTCACTGCTGGATATTCGGTGGCGCTTGGTGCCGAGGCTCTTGAGCGAAGATGGCACAAATTCGTCTAAACTGTCCCGGCTGGTCTCGCTTGGAGTGCTGTCGATGTCTATCTGCAGGGCCATGTTACTCTTAGTGCTGCTCGAGTCCTCGTTGACGGAATCCCCGTGACCTTGGGAAAAATTCTCTTCAATAACAGAAGGACTGAGAGAAGACTGGGTAGCTTTGGGGTGAGCATCAGATATCCCGTCATCATCTGCGACGCTTTTACCGAGAGACGCCTCCTTGGGCGATGGCTCGACCTGTGGTTCTGTGGAAATCACCACAGGTCGTGGGCCACTGGATGGATCATTCACACCTTGAGGGACCTCCTGGTGTGGTCTGGCTGGAGACACCGCGGGCGTTTGGTGTGGCGTATGGTGTGGCGTTGCGATGGGCCCAACATCGTCCTTGCAAATATCCGGGCCTGGCGTCAATGATACGACGTCTTCGTTCTTGTCTGGTTGAAGCGGCGTTTAAGTCTTGGAGGCCGCTTCGGAATACTACGGCCTGTTGGTGCAGGCGACGGTGGCATGCGGGTCGCCACAACGGTGACATGGCAGCGAGCAGCCCTTTCTGTCGTGCCCCGCCACGGTGGTCTAGTGGCTAAGGTACTCGGCTGCTGACCCGCAGGTCGCGGGATCAAATCCCGGCTGTAGCGGCTGCATTTCCGATGGAGGCGGAAATGTTGTAGGCCCGTGTGCTCAGATTTGGGTGCACGTTAAAGAACCTCAGGTGGTCAAAATATCCGGAGCCCTCCACTACGGCGTCTCTCATAATCATATGGTGGTTTTGGGACGTAAAACTCCACATACAATACCCTTTCCGTCGTGGCCATAATTGCCGCACCTTCGACAAAATGGAGCTGTGCAGTTCATGCGGAAGTGCCCACTGACTCCACATCGGCGGCACACTCGTTGAATCCCTTTACAGTCACAGGTCACTCAATGGCCTGCGACCTTGAGGTAGTTGGGCACCGGCGAAGATGTCTTCAGTTCCATCCGGACGAATCGCGTCCCAATGGTGACGGTTGGGCACGACCCAATGAGTCCCCTGCTGATGTGCAGCACCTTCCCGTGGGGAGACAATGCTTGCGCGAGGACCTCGCTGGGGACGCGGCATGGCAGGAACAGAACGGTGACTTGAGTGACTTGGGGTCCCAAAGGTACGACAGCAACGCGCTCTCCTCTCATAATGAGTTGGGACCCGTCGACAATTTGAAGCGATGCGGCTTCAATGTTAACGGTGACCTGGTAATTCTGACCCCCAAAGTGCTGTACACAGTAGACCTCTTTGATTCCTACTATTGAAGACGTCGCGTCAACGACGTCTTCGGAACTAGTCCCCTCGAGCACGACTACGTCTAAGGTTTCACGACTCACATCAATTGAGATGTCGATGATGATTACCAACCTTATCAGCCCTACGACGTTCTCTAATAGTCATAGGTCGCCCACTCTCATGTTTCTCTACCAAATCCAGTCCTATGGTTGCTTTGATAATGTGATTTCCGCGAGCTTCACAATGTCATCTGCCCCTCTAAGCTCAGCGAAGAGCGCTTTTTTCGATCGTGTAGATTGTTCAAGAGGCGCCAATTTTCTTTGTCGTCCAAATGACTAGTCCGGTGTTTTAATTATACACGTGCGTCAATAAGAAAGCCTGGGAATCGGCAAATAGCAAATTTTTAAGGTACATTTCAATTATTATTAAACCCATTCCTATCCATCGCTTTTAAACCTCCCTCTAAACACGCATTGTGTAGGTCGTAAATCTCCACCACAGAGCATCCTTAAAAAAAACTTAGTGCTTTCACCATGTATTATTATATTTCATCTGAAATTATGGGGCATCAAAATTTTGAAATGTCGCTTATATATTTCAATCCACAAAGAAGTTTTTGCCGATTACAGTACTATCCACTGCGTACAAGATATCTGCTGAAGTAGTTGT